CCCCCCCTCGCAACACACATAGCCCCCCACTGGCCCCCAGACAGCTCCTCACTGGCCCTCCCAGCCCCAGGGAGTCTGGGCCCCACTGAACCAGACAGCCCCCCACTGCCTACCCAGCATGAACAACACGCGCCCCTGGAGGCCGCGTGGTGGGGGGGCAGGGGATGGCGGTGGTGCAGCGGGAGCAAGCGGGGAGTCCCTATAGGCAGCCACACAGTGTTGGCAGTGTGGGTGGGAAGCACCAACCGGCAGTCAGTGATCACCGGTGGATGCCGCCGGCAGCATTAGCAGCACTTTTCTCAGGGGGTGCACTGCCAATCTCAGGGGGTGCACGTGCACCCGTGTGCACCAATGCTAGGGTGGCCATTCATCCGGTTTTATAGAAGACAGTCCCATTTTCTGGTCTTCTGTCCTCTATTGTTATGAAACCGGACGCCTTTATGTCCTCTAGTTTTCACCACTCGGCACCCCCGCCCAGCCACTGACACCACTGCAGCTGACTGCGGGAGCTCCCCACTAGGCCTGCCCCCACTACCAACACCACTGTGGCTGCCTGCGGGAGCTGCCCACTCAGCCTGCCCCCACCACTGACACTGCCGCGGCTGCCTGCAGGAACTCCCTGCTCCCCACCACCATGCCTCCACTGTCACCACCGCTGTCACCACTTGCGGGAGCTCACCATGCTCCCCCAGCCTCAGGAGGCACATGACGTTCATGGTTGCACTAAATGCAACTGTCCTCTATTCTTGAGGTACCTCAATGACCACCCTATTAGACAGCCCCCCCTGACCTGCCCAGACAGCCCCCTCACACCCCACTGACTACCAGGCAGCCCCTCACTGCCTTCCCAAGATAGTCCCCCCACTGATCCAGATAGCCCTTCACTGAACTCCTGCAAACAGCCTGCCCCATTGATTCAGATGGCCCCTCACTGACCTGCTCCACCGGGCTTTAAACTAAGCCCGCTGGGGGATGGGGGGACTAATGCCACTGCTGGCCCACTGAGCTCACACCCCACTGACTACCAGGCAGCCCCTCACTGCCTTCCCAAGATAGTCCCCCCACTGATCCAGATAGCCCTTCACTGAACTCCTGCAAACAGCCTGCCCCATTGATTCAGATGGCCCCTCACTGACCTGCTCCACCGGGCTTTAAACTAAGCCCGCTGGGGGATGGGGGGACTAATGCCACTGCTGGCCCACTGAGCTGCCCTTGCAAAGCCAGCAGGCCAAGGCACATAAGGGATCCCACCCCAGCCCCAGCCCTGGAACAAAATGTAGGCAGGGCAAGAGCCCCCAAGGGGACACTTGCGTGTCTATACACAAATGCCAGGAGCCTGGGGAATAACCAGGAGGAACTTGTTCTCCTGCTAAATGCAAAAATCTATGATGTCATTGGGATAACAGACCTGGTGAGACTCCACCCATGACTGGACCATGGGTATAGATGGCTATACCCTGTACAGGAGCATAGCTCACTATGTCAAGGAAACAGACGCATTCCTGCAAGCCGACATTGGCACCCAGGGTGGACAACTTGAGACCCTCTAGGTTAAAATCCATAGGGAACACGGCACAGGGGATACTATGGTGGGAGTCTACAACAGACCCCCTACCCAGGATCAAGACCTTGACCAGGAGTTCACCAGGGAATTGGCTGAGGCCACGCGCTCCCAGTGTATGGTTGCCATGGGAGACTTTAACTACCCAGACATCTCGTGGGAGGAGTGCTCAGCCAAATCCGAGCAGTCACAAAGCTTTCTCTCGTGTATGGATGACCTCTATCTGACACAGGAAGTCTACGGGCCAACAAGAGGTAAAGCACTGCTTGACCTCATACTGGCAACTGGGGACAACCTAATCAGTGACCTAATGATCAAAGGGAAGCTGGGTGACAGTGACTATGAGCTGATCACCATCTGCCGTAAAGCTGGCAAGTCAGTCAGTAATATAGAAGTCCTCAACTTCAGGAAAGCTGACTTTGACAAGCTAAGGAGGCTTGTCAGAGAGGCCCTAAAAGGCCACAACCCAATGGAGAGGGGAGTTCAGGACAAGTGGTTGCTCCTCAAGGGAGCAATCCTGGATATGCAAGCAAAGTCTATCCTGTCTTGGAGGAAAGGCAGCAAAAAGGCACAGCATCCCCCTTGGCTGTCCAGGGAACTGGCAGACCTCCTGCGTCTTAAAAGGAAGACCTACAAGGGATGGAGAACTGGAACTGCCACCAAGGAGGAATACTCTGCTCTGGTCTGGACCTGCAGAGAGCAAACCAGGAAAGCCAAGGCTGTGATGGAACTCAAGCTAGCTACAAATATCAAGGACAATAAGAAGTCCTTATTTAGATATATGGGGAGCCGGAGGAAAAGCAAGGGCAACATTGGACCGTTGCTAAACCAGATGAGGCAACTGACAACCGGTGCCCAGGAAAAAGTGAACTTGCTAAATGGGTACCTTGCATCAGTTTTTCACCAGTCCCATGGGATGGCCCTGCCCATTATGGGTCAGGGAGGCCCAGGTGAGGGAGATTCCTTTCCCTCCATCGAAGCCGACCTTGTGAAGGAACACCTTGACAGGCTGGATACCTTCAAGTCAGCTGGCCCTGATGGGTTACACCTAAGGGTACTCAGGGAGGTGGCAAGCATCATAGCTCAGCCCCTGGCATGGATCTTTGAGAGCTCTTGGTGCTCTAGTGAAGTGCCCGAAGATTGGAAGAAGGCCAATGGCGTGCCTATCTTCAAGAAAGGGAGGAAAGTAGATCCGGCAAACTACAGGCCCATCAGCCTGACCTCTATCCTGGGGAAGGTCTTGGAAAAGATTATCAAAGAGGCTATCCTTAAGAGACTAGCTAATGGCAATATCCTGAGGGATACCCAGCATGGATTTGTTGCAGGTAGTTCTTGCTTGACCAATCTCATTTCCTTTTATGACCAGGTGATTGCATCCAGTTTTGGGCTCCGCAATTCAAAAAGGATGTGGAGAAGCTTGAGAGGGTGCAGAGGAGAGCCACGCGCATGATCAGAGGTCAGGAAAACAGACCTTATGATGAGAGGCTGAGAGCCATGGGACTCTTCAGCCTGGAAAAGCGCAGGCTCAGGGGTGATCTGATGGCCACCTTTAAGTTTATCAGGGGGAACGTCTGTTTATCACAGTGCCCCAAGGGATGACAAGATCAAATGGTCACAAACTCCACCGCGACCGATTCAGGCTGGACATAAGAAAGAACTTCTTTATTGTCCGAGCCCCGCAAGGTCTGGAATAGACTGCCACCAGAGGCGGTTCAAGCACCCACTTTGAACACCTTCAAGACACATTTGGATGCTTATCTTGCTGGGATCCCATGATCCCTGCTGACTTCCTGCCCCTGGGGCAGGGGGCTGGACTCCATGATCCTCTAGGGTCCCTTCCAGCCCAAATGTCTATGAAATCTATGAAATCACTGACTTCCCCAGACAGCCCCCCACAACCCTCCCAGACAGTCCCCCACTGACCCCTCAGACAGCCCCCTCTGCCTCTCATAACCCCCTACAGCCTTCCCCAGACAACCCCACTGACCCCCGCCGAGATCCCCCACTGCCAGTTAATCCTCTGCCTTTACCTTTATTCCACCCCCTCCCTTGTAAGTATGTTTTATTCAATCAGTTTATTTTTAAATTTTCCAATCAAAACAGTTGACACGCTCAGTTTTGAGAGGCACAAGTTTTCCTAGGCCACAGACATCCCCTTTTTTGGTCACCTAGGAAAGCTGGCACCTCTCCGAGGCACTTAGTGTCTCGGGTGCCACCCTGTCCTCACTTGTGCCTGACTTCAGATGAACTCCCTCTCACTAATTCTGTCTTCAAAGTGATCAAAGCTGACCTCAGGGCACATAGGCGGATCCAAAATTTAGAAAAGGTGGATGCACATGGGGAGGTGCCTCAGCACATATAACAACACCTGTTTTTCTCCAGTTAAACATAAACTAGAGGCTTTCCTAACAAGCTAGTGGCCTAGAGCTGTATTATTCAGTTTAAGATTGAAGCAGAAATAGATACAACTTCATTGGAATGAGTTAAAAACAGCCTGCAGGGCTGTGAAATAGGAGTTTCATTACTGGAAGCAGTGAACAGACTGCAGAACAAAGGATATTCATAGTTTCATAGTTGGTAGGGTTGGAAGGGACCTGAGCAGATCATCAAGTCCGATCCCCTGACATGGCAGGAAAAAGTACTGGGGTCAAACGACCCCAGCAAGGTGTTCGTCTAACCTCCTCTTAAAGACCCCCAGGGTAGGAGCCAGCACCACTTCGCTTGGAAGTTGGTTCTATGTCCTAGCCTCCCTGACTGTGAAGTAGCACCTCCTGATATTGGTGGAACATCAAGACCATTACATAGAACAGAGGGTTTTTCACACCTGTGGAGTTTAGAAAGGATCAGGTAGATTACAAAGAGCCATGAAGACAACTGACTCCCTCAGCACTTCCTGAGTAGAAATGCTGCTGCCACTGCCAGATAGTTGGTTTTAAACTTTGGGTGGACCAGGAATCAATCGAAGGAGGGTGTGAGTGCACCAGTGCAC